AAATAGATAAATAAAAACACACAAAAGAACTTTTTTCTAAATTCTCACCACAAAGATATTTTCTATTTTCTACTTTTAGGATTTTATATACAGTAGAATCTCTGTACATTAACCACCCAAAGAACTATAACAAACTGGTCAACATACAGAGGTGGTCAACATGGAGAACTAGGCCTATGATACTGATACATCCATGTGGTGCATGTCCAGTCTATGAAAATTAGGTCAACTTAAGGAGATGACTAATGTCAGGAGGTAGTCAACTATAGAGGTTCTACTCTGTGTGTATGTGTGTGTGCGTGTGTATACATATGTATACATGACTATTGAAATTCTGTGTTCTGCTTTTATCCCATAGTGTTATATATTTATGCTATGTAATCTGTTTAATTAAAGTCATCAATGGCTAATACTCCACTCAATACTGTACCATAAGTAATTTAACATTCTTCCATCAAGGCATGCTATTTTTCATTTATTTCTAACTACTGATTATATTCTTTGTACATGAAGCCTTTTCTTCTTTTTAAATTTTTTTTTAGCCTAAAGGCTCATTAATTGGATTTTGGAGTAGAAGTGTCAATATTTTTATGTCTGCTTCTCATATGTATTACCAAATTGGACTTCAAAATATTTTTGCTGACGTGCAGTGATTTCAGTAACGTATCAATTTCTTCGAGTTTTCTTTTCTAGATTCTGGATTTTTTAGGCACATTTTGGCCATAGTACATAAGCATACCAAAAAAGAAATATATAAAACTAGACAGCATAGCAGTGTTTTTTGACCTCTTTTATTTCATGGCGCACTTGAACCTACAGTTAAACTTCAGTGGCACACTTAAATTATATTGATCAAGAAAAAGAATAAAACATAGAATATACTTTGATTTGGACTTCTTTCAAAAATAATTTGATTAATCATCTTTAAAAATTCTTGTGGCACACCTAAAACCCTCTTATGGCACACCAGAGTGCTGGGCACACTGGCTGAATATCACTGCAGTATAGAGATATTCAAACAAAATAAATGTCTTAATGATCTTGAAATTTATCATTTATATGAAAGAACAAACATACTGAAAATGAAAGTAATTTAAAGAAAGTGATAAGCAATTGTTCATTAGGATTATATAAAGTTTGTAAATAAGAGTGGAGGGAATGGTTACTTGTAATGAAGGAGAAGTGTTTTGAACATCATTCAAAGATTCTTTTCTAAAAGAAATCTAGAAAAAATTATTTACATATTAGTGTTTACTATAAGAAATCTGAAACCCTCTTTTTTTTTTTT